AGAGGTCAGTTGAAGGAGATGACTGAAGAAAAGGCTGGCTGATGTTTAAGAATATCACTATAACCATCAGTTACTGGTTTCAGTTGACAACATAGAATGGTTTACTGCTGTCATTGTCCATACCTACAGATAATTTATTTTGTATTTTTGAATAAAGACATTTGCACATTCCTGGTAAATGAGTATAAGAGCCATGTACCAATGTACTGCTTTCAACTTAAATCACTGAGGCATTTTTACTACTATTCTATTAAAATCAGGATTTTAGTGATTGCCATCAACAGATGAGAAGCTAAGAAGCAGCCTTTCTGTGGAGAGTAAGAATAATTGTGTACAGAGTAGAGCAATATCCAATTATGTGACAACGTTTGTGTAATAAAAATTGTTTAAAGTTAAAAAAAACAAAAAATATATGTAGAAGGTGAAAAGCACAAAGAAATAAATAAAGTTGAGTTTTAGCAGTATGCTATCTGCCTATACATTAAAGAACGGATTATTAAACCAGAATCTGTAAACCTTCAAAGATATCTGAATGGGTTTTGAAAGTCTTATTATTAGCCTCCTGAAATTATTAGAAAAACTAAGTGTATATGTATATTTTTTCTGAGGAGAAGAGATAGCACAAAGCTCTGAGATGCTCAAAGAAGTTTATGACCTTTGACTAAGACTCTGCATCATGGGATATATTTTAAGATTTTAATTCTCAGTTAATAGTTCAAAGTTTTTAAGTCAATACTCCAAAATAATAAGATATAGTGGTAAGAATTCCTTACATTCAAGAAGGATTTCTCATGTGGCTGCCATGCCAACATTTTTGGCAAAAATTCCATAAAGAACAAGAATGATCTAGACTAGATATCTCAAAGCAATCTTAAAACTGTCAAACAGTTAAAACTTAAACACACACACACATACACACACTCCACCAATGTCATTTCCCATTTAGAATCTCTAATACTGGCATATGATCTTACGTTGCTACATTCTGTTTTATACATGTATATTCAGTCTCTCCAACTACTTATCCCTGTCCTACAGTAGATTATTATATCTAATTTCTCTTGCTCAGAACAGTATAATATACAAGTCTCAAATATATTTATATGAAGAAATTTCCACTTCACTTAGATTAGCATGTCTATTGTTGCATTTATCATGCTGTATGGTAATAACAGGTAAAAATGTCTAGGGACTTGTTTCAAAATTAAGAAGGGGGAGGGGAGTGGGTGGAGAGACAGAAAAAACAAGATTGACCACAAGTTGAAAAATGTTAAAGCTGGTGATATGCATATTATTATATTTTTATGTTTGCAATTTTCCATAATACAAAGTTTAAAGACATTGGCCTCGCCTATTAGAACAGAGAGCTTCTTAAAGACAGGTGCAGGAGCTTTCCTCTTTGTACATCTGCCCAGTAGAGAGCAGTTACTTTGCTAAACACATTTCATTCTTTATGTGAAAGGCAGCAGTACTATCCTTCAATGAAACTTCAACAACTCTTTGATGGTATTTTATTTAAACAATTCTTTTATTAACCCAGATAAAACATATTCATTCATTCACTACTTACTGGTTACCTACTTTTCTCAGATATCCTGTCTTGATAAATGGAGGATATAAAAAGTAATTCATACTCTCTAATAAATTAAGAATCTGACAATACCCTCAAGGATCCATGGGAAAAAGGGCAGGGAGGGGAGAAAGGGAGATAAAGGGAAAGAAAAAATAGTAAAAAGCAACAAATACAGTATTTTAAGAAAGGGCTCTAAGGCATTCACATTTTTAATTAGAAAGAAGGCATACAGTTTCTTTAAGTTAGACAGGTCTAAAAGTTCCCCTCCCCACTCTATTTTACAGATGAGGAAACTAAAGCTCAGAGAGGGGAAGTGACTTGCCTCAAGTTACACATCAAGTTGCTAACAAAACCAAAAGTAAAATTCAGATCTGCTCATTCACAGTGCAATGTGAATTTTCTACATAAAAAATTTCCTCCTACCCCATAATATTCACTACCTAAAGAGAATGACTATTTTATTATTAATATACACTTCAATTCTGTATTCTACCATACTAAAAAAAAAAAGCAATACACTAAGTAAAGGGGGGAGGCTGGGTAGAAAATGCAAACAAACTGCTAAGACAGTTATACATGAATACTATATGCACATACCACACTTCCTTAATTCTGAGACACATTTGACTTTAAGACATAGTATCCATTTTGTAAACATTTTTTAAAAAATATAGACACTGTAAAATCTTCATTTCAAAAAATATTAAAATGTGAAAACACACACCTCTAAAGCAATAAAATATAACGCACCCTATAAGACACAAAAATCACTATCATTTAAGACCCCATGTCACAGGCACAAACACACAGAGCAAGAGTCCCATCTTCTAAAGTAACGAATAGTTACTAAATACCTAAGGCTATGTGGCATTTTTTTCAGTTGTCTGTATTAATAAACAAGTCCTTTTTGCCATACATCTCATATGCATGAGCTCTGGAGTCAGAGAAAGTAAACTGGAATCTCCAGCTCTGCCACTTAGCTCTCTGGCCTTTGGAAAGTTACTAATTTCTCCAAATCTCATTCTCTTCATAAAATAAGATAACCACCTTAGAGAATTGCCTGAGAATTAAATGTAATAATTTATTTAAGGAACATAGTACAGTGCCTAGATGAAATATTAAGTTTCCTTCCACAATTCCTATGGACCAAATGAAATTAAAACTAAAAACTACGTCCCATTCTTGACTTATAAGATTGGAATAAATCTGTACTAACCCTAGGGCAAATACTACTAATTTCCTTTGGAATAATTATTTGATAAGAAAAGCTTATTTTCTTGAAATTTCTCTCTTTTCTTCTTCAAACTGGGAACAGAAAACAATGACAAATTTTAAGTGTTTAAGTTAAACTTGTTATATGTAAACTCAGCACTTTCATGTTGCCTTACTGAACTGAGACTCTAAGCCCAATACAAACCCACTGAAGAGAGGAACTATAAGCCTACGTGTGGGAGGAGAGAAGGGTATAAGGTCAAAAAGACACATTTAAAATGACTCGATGTACGACTGGTTTGGTTTTTTTTAACCTTAAATTCATTTATTAAACAATGTTCAGAAAAGCCAAGACTGTATCTCCATGATTCAGGGTGCTTTAGTAACCTGATCCCCCAGATTAAGCAAATGTAGTTTCAGGTTGTTTCCAACAATAACAAGTCATTGCCAGGATGGGACTGTGCCTAGCAAAGTGGCTCATATGCAGTAGACACTGAAATAAGACCATCTTCTCTCCTACCCCAAACATAGTACAGCCTAGACCACCCACATATTCTCTCACTATTAGTTCATTTTAGTTGAATGATTTTTCCCCACTAATGATAAAAGTAACAATGCTTTTTTTTAAACTTGGAAAAATACAAAAAGTACCAGCATTTTTAAACTACCCATGATCTTACCAGCCAATAACTAAAATATTACAAAAGGACATACTAACATCTTTCCTATGAATTTGACCATAATTATGATCATACCAAACTTTAAATTTGTATAGAGCACTTGCCACTAAACACAATTAACTACCAGTCCATATGTTAGTATCTTCATTATGGCTTTCTTGAGACCAAATTCACACTGTTTTTCCTTACTTAACTCAATGGTTTCTTCTCAATCTTTCCTCTTCTGAGTCTCTACATATTTTGCTGATGATCACTTCCTCTTTCTTAAAACTCTATCCTAAGTTTCCCTAAACAGTATATTCCTCAGTGTCTACAAAAGTCTCTCCAACTAATCTTTTTCTATTTCTTCACTGGCTCTCTTCTGTTAACTCCTGACAATCTCTAAAACATGGCTCAGTCCTGACTTTGAATTTGCTTGTCAACCTTGAATCCCTAGCACTTAATAACACAATGCCTGGCATGAAGCAGATGCTCAATTTACGTTTACTTACTGACTTTGCCAACCCTGACCTGCCACCTACTAGTTGTGTTACCTTGGTTAAATTAAATCTTTCTGAACCTCAGTTCTCTCATTTATAAAGTAGGGATAATCAAAGGAAGATGATGCTTGGAAAGCTCAAGACAGTTTCTGGCACAAAGTTGCACCCAATAAATTTTGCTATTATTATCAACATAATCTAGTACAGGAATCAAAAATATTTATTATTGGGCTTCCCTGGTGGCACAGTGATTGAGAGTCTGCCTGCCGATACAGGGGACACGGGTTCGTGCCCCAGTCCGGGAAGATCCCACATGCCGCGGTGGCAGAGGCCACAACGGTGAGAGGCTTGCGTACCGCAAAAAAAAAAAAAAGAATTTATTATTATATACGGTTGAACACCAAATCTACTTCTCAATAACCTAATTTACTTTCACCATATTCCTCTTATCATAACTATCAAAAAACATTTTTGTACTCTTCACCACTTATCTCCAATCCATCATCAACTATTCTAATTTTTCTCTCCTAGCCACCATACAAAACCATCATTTATCAACTAAGCTATAACAACAGACTTAGCTGATTTCTACACCTTTATATCTTCATTCATGGGCTTCCCTGTGGTCCGGGAAGATCCCACATGCTGCGGAGCAACTAAGCCCGTGTGCCTCAAGCAACTACTGAGCCTGCGCTTTAGAGCCCGCGTGCCACAACTACTGAAGCCTGCACACCTATAGCCGGTGCTCCACAACAAGAGAAGCCACCGCAATGAGAAGCCCATGCATCACAAAGAAGAGTAGGCTCAGCGCACCACAACTAGAGACAGCCTGCGTGCAACAACGAAGACCCAACTCAGCCAAAAATAAATAAATAAATAAAATTTATTTTTAAAAAGATCTTCATTCAAATCTTCAATCCTCCTTAAAAACCATTTTTAATTTGTCACTCTTGTCCACAGTTGCTTATAACATGTCCATACTACTGGAATGCCATCCTCTTATCTTGCAATAACCCATGTCCCAACTCCTAGTTCAAAAGATGGCTCAACACTCACCTCTTCCAGGAAACTTTCCCTGATTAACTCCACACCACTCAGATTACTTCTCTGCTTCGAGTCGCCTCAGCCCCTCAGCACTTAGGTACTCTGTTATACTAAGAGTAAAATGTGATCAGTGAATAGCATTACCAAGAAATTACTTCCACAAAACTATTTCTACATCCTAAAGAATGGTCCATTACCTATAATGCTTTGTTGATTTGGTTAATTAGGAAACATCCTATATGACAAATGCCCTCTTTGGGTTTTGTCCTTAACACTATACTACTTCATGTTGGTAAAGAAGCACTTAACTCTTCACAATCCTTTTGTCCTATCCTCAGGCAGAAATAATACCTCAGTTGTATCACCTCCTCCTGTTTAAATCCAATGGAAATGTAGTAATGGACCATTTTCTTTTCTACTATCTTTTCCCTGCCCCCAACCTCTGCCCATACCCCGCAAATAAAACTTCTAAAGCTTTAAACAGAAAGGTAGTAGCAGTGATACCACGTTTTTCTTTCCTGTAAGTGAAAAGAACTTTGAACCTATTTAGCTACAAAACTCTTCCCAAGGCTGAAAAATTTCCCAACAAGCATGATGCATAATCAAATTCTACATCAAAATGCTTGATTCTTATAGAGTAAGAGAATTGTACTTATGTTCACTCTTACTTGTGTTGCTGTAAGAGATCTTACATCATTTTTATGACACGACTGTTGAGAAACTCCCCTGTATTGCAGTTTTCGCAAAGTATCCTGTGATGTTGTCTTTAAACTAACACATTCTACTTTTTTTGATATAAGAATTAAGCGATTCCTCACTGCCATCCAATCAAAAGCAAACAATATTTGTGCCATGGCTTGTGAGAAGATGAGTTCGTGTGCTGCTGAGGCAAAACAATGAGATGAACTGTCACACGGGTGGGAGAAGGGTTGGGGAGGAAGGAGGAGGGTTGGGGAGGGAGGACAATCAACCTCAGCGGTGAGAGTTAACAAGTCTGTGAGTTTGGCCATCGATGAGTAGTGAATGAACCTATGGACCTGGCTGACTGACTCCTACCTGACAAAACCGACAGTTATTCTTGCTGACTTACTCATAAAAGATCCACACCCTTCAGTTACCATACATAAACCTACCTCGTTTGCTCCTCGTATACTTTCTCCTAACTGGCCACCTAACGCTTTCTAGTCTAACAGCCTCCAACCACACCTCACCTAAAACCTCTGCCTCTCAGTCACCTTCCGGCTTTAGTAAGTGCCTCTTACTCCAGATTCACGTGTCCCAAGCCTGTCCTCCCTTCACTCCCAGCTGATTTCCCCCCAGTCTCAATCAATGCCTACTTCCAAGAGGCCAACCACACGCCCCGGCTCCGCACCTTCTCCCCGGGCACCCTTTTCTGAGCATCACCCTATTCCCATCACTTTCTTCGTCCCCAGACCCAGAGTCCTGCCATCACAGGCCTCCTTTCACTGCCACCCTCAGGCGCACAAACCTGCTCCTCCGTTAACTACTCCGCCCCACCTTCGCCACCTCTACGCGGTCTCACCGCCCCAGGCGGCGCCCCCAGGCTCCGCGCCTGCAAACCAAGCCCCCCCCCCATGGCACTGCTCTCAGTCCCGGCTCTCCAGAGGGCGGTGGCCCCGCCAAGCCTCGCAGAGACCATCCGGGCAGAAGCGGGCGCCCCCCGCTCTACGCAGCCGTGGGCGGGGGCGGGGCAGCTGGTGTAGCCCCCGCCTCGGCCAGGCCTGCCTCCCCGGCTCCCAGAGCCGTGGCCCCGGCCAGGCGAGGAGGGACCCGCAGCCCGCCTCTCCCGCCCGGCGTCCCCGCCTCTCACCTAGACGCAGAGGCTCGGGCCTCGCTTTCCTCCTGGCAGTCCAGAGAGGGCTCTGTCGCCGTCGGCGTCGCGCTCCCTTCACTCGCTCTTCCACCGCCCCCGACCGGCCGCTGAAGAGCAAACGGGCGGTGGCACGCCCATTGGCTGCGGCCCGCGCTCGCGTCAGCCGGCCCCGACACGGACCTCGGAATGTGACTGGCTAACGCGGCGCCTCTTTTCCACGTCTTGTCCTGATTGGCTCTCTAGTGCCCCCTTACTAGGAGGACCGCTCACCCTCCGCCTGGCTTCGGCCTCCCACCCCCTCAACCCCGTTTCCATCCGGGCGGGAGGAGACGGGAGCGGGCGCGGGTGGGACACGAACGGCCAATGGGAGGGCGGAGAGAGGGCCGGGAGGTGGGCTCTGCTCCCGGCCAGCTCGCGGGGAAAGTTCATCCAATGGTCGCGCGCCCCACACCCCGAGCTCACGAGCGCCCCCGCCGGCAGATCGCGTTCTGGCGGGTCGCGGCCAGGGCCACACCCGGGCTGCCCGTCGCTTGGGAGCGGCGCCCACTGGAAAGGTGGGGAAGATGCGGCGAGGCGGCCGCGGGTGACCGCTGGCAGCCATTGTGGCGTGCTCCCGTGCTGTCTTCGTGAGTCCCGACGCGCCTCTTGGCGGGGCTGGTTTGGGTCGGTGAGAGCGGAATCGTGGCTCTGTGGTCCCCTGGAGCCTCCGCGGGGTGCCCTATAGAGAGGGAGCCGAGCGTGCGTCTCGTCCAGCCCCGCGGGACTGTGGGTCAAATATTTCCACTTAACACTGCTTCCAGAGTAATTTCATACAAAATTTATCCATGAGAGAAATTAGAATAATGGTTATCTCGCGGGGGGGAGGAGGGGAAATGGAAAGGGCACAAGGGAACCTCACGGAAGCTCGGAGCGTTCTGCCTCTCGATCTGGGTGGTAGTTACCGAGGTGGTGTCTGCCTAGATAAAACTTCACCGAGTCGTACACTTAAGATTAGTTCACTCAACGCACTTTATGTATAATATCTCAATTTTTTAAATGATAAAAGGATTGTGAGAAAAACTCTAATATTACCATAACCGTAGGCTCCATGGGACACCCATGGTATAAACAATCCCACTAGGATTTAGCTATCGTTCAAAAACTAGAAACCAGAGGAAGAAAAAAAGGACTGTGAGAATTTAAAGTGAGTGAAAGCTCCTGGCACGGTGAATAACACTCACAGGTTGGTGCTTTAAGGATGAGCTAAGATGGTTCAGAATGATTTTTCTCTGAGGATTTAGAGCCTGTTTCAGTGCCTGACACTGTTACCAGAACTAAAGCACCCATGGTGCTGCACCCAGTTGGAAACTACAGAAGTTTACGGAGCTGCGTACTTTACTTTCATTTGAACACCATGGCTTCTGCCTTGGAGGAGCTCACAGTCCAGCACCAAGTACAGTCACCCTCTGTATCCGTGGGGAATTGGTTCCAGGACACACTCTCCCCCCGCCCCCCCGCAAATACCAAAATCCACAGATGTTCATGTTCCTTATGTGAGATGGTGAAGAATCTTTGTTTCTGAACTTGACATATAAAGTTAGGTAAGATAGTATTTTCCACAGAGCATAGGATATAATAAGGACTCAGACATAAACAGATAATTCCACTATAATGCAGGATGAAGGAATACATATAAACAGGATCTTACCCAGCCTAGGGAATTTAGGGGCATCTTCTTAGAAGATGCAGAATTAAGTTAACCACTGCTAACATAACCACTGTGCACATCCTCCCACATTCTTTAAATCATCTCTAGTTAACTTATAATACCTAATACAATGTAAATGCTATGTAAGTAGTTGTAAATACAATGTAAATGCTGGGTAAACAGTTGCTGACAAATAGCAAATTCAAACTTTTGCTTTTTGGAACTTTTCTAGAATTTTTTTTCTGAATATTTTCAATCCACAGTTATTTGAATTCACAGATGTGGAACCCACGGATACTGAGGCTGTCGATACAGTCATTCCTGGCAGAGGGCACTGAACACAAAACTAATACAGCTGCCTACCCTCAGGGATGAGTCATTTCCCTAGGCTAGGCAAGATGTATGTGTGTCTAAAACCCAGGCCATTAACAAAATTCTGAAATATCCAGGGTCAGATGAAACACTTCTTAGCTATAGGTCAATAATATTCTTCCCAAAATAGCCACAAGAACTATGGGCCAAATGCTAGCCTGTGGAAGGGCATCAGCAGCAAAACAAGTTAAAGATTACAGGATTCGTGTTTATTAACTCAGTCATTAAGTTGTTCATTTCTGATAAATACCTTTGTTTAAAGTACTTGTCCCTGAACTAGGCACATAAAGTTAGGTAAGACAGTATTTCCCACAGAGTATAGGGTGTAATAAGGAGGCAGACATAAACAGATAATTCCATTATAATGAAGGTTGAGAGAATATATATAAAAAGGATCTAACCCAGCCTAGGGAATTTAGGGGCATCTTCTTAGAAGATACAGAGCTAAGTTAACCACTGCTAAGGTTTATCACCATACCATAAGCAATTAGGCACTATTTCTGGAGAGTACTTTCATTACAAATTTTTAAATTTTTGTACAAATACCTTCATTTTTTAAAAATAGTTATATGTAAATATAACAATATAATAGCTATATATAAATATATAAATTAATACTTAGTTCTGAGGAAAACATGTGAAAAAATTAAGTAATTGCTTAATGAATACATTATGACTTTCAAAAATAACTTTAGGGTTGCAAGCTTAAAGGCATTCATTTGATTCAAGTCGATGTGTATGTAACATGTCCCTCCAGCAGAGACCCCCCACAGATGGGCAGCATGCATTCTGGAAGAGGACTTAAAATTAAAACAACGGTTTACTATCCAAGATGGTACAGTCTCATGGGCATGTTGTGTGGCTCATGTCCCTTGCAGTACACCACCATTTGTACGTGAATTCCAAGTCATATATCTATAAAAAGTGACTAATAGTCTTCACAAAAGGTAATGAAGGATTTTGCCCAGAGTCTAACACTTAAAATATAGTAATACCAAAAAAAAGTAATAATTCATTCAAATGCTTTTCCCATCTCTTTTCAGCAAGAGCCCCGAAAATTGGGCTGCCATATATTGGAATCTACTACATTGTAATTTTATTCATGTATGGAACACCTGTATATACTTTTGATTCTTGCTACAGAAACACAGTTCTGTAAATGAAGGTAAATTATACCAAGCCAAAAATGTATTACTATAGTTTACAGCCTAAGGATACCATACATTACTGAGAAAATAAATAGGAATAGACACCAAAAACACATATGTTACTCATAAACTAGTTATAGCTATTTGTGCATTCCCTCAGACTTCCATAACTTCTTTAAAAACAGAAGTCAAGTAAGGTCAAGCATTAACTTTTTTATGCAAACAGTACCTCTTCCTGCTCTGAGGAAATACTTTTCTCATGGCATGTATCATTTTCTAACTCATATGATATATTGTTCTGTCAATGTCTCATTAAACATAGTTTTGTTGAGGTTCTTCACTCCATCTTTACAACAACCCTATGCAAATGTTCATCTATTCATCTGAATTTTGTAGAAGAGAAAATTGAGGCTCAATGAGACAAGTAATTTGCCCAAAGTCACACATCTGTTAGGTGGCAGAAGTGGGATTGAAATCTAGGTCTATTTGATGGCAAATTCCATAATCTTTTTACTATGCCACATTTGTCTCCTCCAAAACAAGATCTGGTCATTTTGCCTTCTCCTCCATACATCTTTGTGTTCCTCACAATGAGTAGCACAGAATCTTACGTATGTCTCTCATGGAACTCATGGTGTTAATAATTCTTTTCACCATGCTTTATCTTTACAGATTTCATGACAAAGAAGAGTGTGAACTATTTAAAAGTAACTACTTCTTTTGACAAAACTAAAGGGAACACAACTTTGTAGTTGCAGTGAAGAGCCCATTACTGCTATCTAGAATGCATCAGAGATGCTCACTTTCATAGCATAGACTGAGCACAGCATAGAAAGAGTTTCAGGCAGCTTTTCTCAAGAGAGCCAAATTTCTAGTGAGTACAGTTACTCTCTGCAATTCATTTGGTGATCTCTACCTTGTTCTGTATTCAATTATGACATCCAGAATTGGTCTGCTTTAAACATATTTTTAAAGCTTGTTATTAAAAAGCAAACAAAAAAATTCTACCAAGTTTCTAACATTTCTGCTAATACATCAATTGTCAGTCTGAACGAGTACACACAGGTTTCTGTGGTTTCATTTCCTCATCTGTAAAAGAAGGGTGAAACTTAATGCCCAGTATCTGTTCTGAGTGTTTTAGAGATCTGTGAAATAAGTTTGGTTTTCACCTGGAGGCGAATCATCTGACCTTCAGTTATTCAACAGCTTTAATCTACGTGGAACAAAAATGGAGCTGCTGTGTTCTTGGCTCTTCTAAAATATTCCTTGTGTCCTGACCACTGACTTTCTGGTTCTTGAAGAGTGGCAGAATATGCCACCCCAAAATATGCCACTTTAGCATAAGGATTATTTTGAGCTAAAGTCACCTAAGAAACAGCAGATGCAAGAAGAGCCTTCTAAGCTCCCTTTTTCTTCCTGAAAACAGGAGATAAAAGCTCCCATGTGAAGGATGCTCTTATACCAAAAGAAAAGAAACATTCTTCAGTGGCAAATCAAAGCCGAGTATCCTGTATACATAGACTTTGTTAAAATAATTCGTATCTTCCTTTAGCCTCCCCATATAATTTACTTTTTCACAATTGCCTTTATTTATTCAACCTAGTATAAAAGCCTGTAGATTTTGCCATTTCTTTGAGTCTTCATTTAACATAAATGTGTATACAGTTCTACTGTTAATCTGTTTTATGCCAATTTAATTCTCAGGCCCAGCCAAAAAACCTTAAGAAGATAGAGGTAAAATTTTGCCTCCCCTACAGTTTCTGGTTATGAGGTTGGGATTTCAATGGTTGGGACACTGAGAGATCCTGGGACAGCTGACAAAAAGCCAGCAGAAGGTAAGAATTCTTACACATCAATCCCTTAGATCTCTGCCTGCATGGCCCAACCAAAGCAAGAATAATGAAAGTCTCTCCTTATCTTTTTCCCTTTCTAAATGTAGCTTGGCAGGAGAAAAAGTATGTAAAACTTAGTTCTTTGAGTTGTGACCTTTGTATTTGGTTCTGAGTACCCATTGGTTATAATCCACAGCCTCCTAGTCTTTGTTTCTTTGTCTCTGTCTTTAGTGGTGCTTGTCATAAGGAGGAAAATCATAAAATGAGCTGCACCATTCATCTTGTTTCACATCTTCAGAGCTTGGCTTTGTGACCAGGGAAAATATTCTCTCTGGTCTCCACCAGCTGGACTGGACAGTACAAGTATTGGCTTGAATCAGGTAACGAGCCAGACAGGGTGGAAATCAAGACACAAAATGACAAGCAGCATTCTCTTTGTCCATCTTGCCACCTCTCAGAGAAGTGTGTCTTAAGAGAGATTCCAGTTTGTCTTGAGAGATTCCAGTCCATAAGAAGCTCTGGTTGTCTGACCTTTGTTGTCTTCATAGTGCTAGGAAGCCCTTATCCTAATGTCACCCACCCGATGCCACAAATGAGCTGGTCTATAGCTGGAGACATTTCAAGTTCCTGTAGGAAGCAAGAGACACCAATTTCACAAACACTATTCTTACTGCCTGTGACAGTAAAGCTCTTTGCATTCTTAGGCTAACTCTGGGAGTGAACTTTCTGGATTTTGGGAGGGCTGCATCTTTTGTACTGTCTTTGGGGATGCCTCTCATGTCTGTGGCTAAGCCATAAAAGGCTTATTGGTTTTGAGTCATAATTAAAATAGGTATACTCCTGAATATTTGGACTTCTATATCTAAAAGCATTTTTTAGAGAGCTCCCACCCTATACAATTATCCTACTGTTACCTATGGGAAGGTCAAATTGAAAGGAAAAAATTAATAAGATGAAGATAACTCTTGTATAAGTTAGTAAATTTTGTGTTTCTATATTTATACCTAACTCATGGCTAAGGTTTAAAATGAAAACTGTAAGATCTCTTTTTGTATATGTCTCTATATGTCTATGTATACATGTAATATTTTTCTACCTCTGGATGATACTGCCAAAATTACTCTGTAAAAGAGTTCTATTTAATTGGTTTAAAAAAATAAACGCTTATATAAAGTATTCCTAAAACTCTCAGAAATATAGAAACTAACCCAAATGTTTCTCAGGTTCACAGGATCTGGGATAAAACCTTGTTTAAGTCATGTCTTCAGAGTTGTCAACAGTAAATATAATGAAGACATAGCACTTATTCTATTTGGGTTTACTAGTCAAATGAATTTATGTTATCTCTACTAGATGTTTAAGATTGTAAAATTTTAAACTCAATTTAAAATCAGGACATATAGTAAAAATAAATTGCTTGATGCATGTCAAACACAGCAGTACATTAAAAAAGTTGGAGAGGGCTTCCCTGGTGGCGCAGTGGTTGAGAGTCCGCCTGCCGATGCAGGGGACACTGGTTCGTGCCCCGGTCCGGGAAGGTCCCACATGCCGCGGAGTGGCTAGGCCCGTGAGCCATGGCCGCTGAGACTGCGCGTCCGTAGCCTGTGCTCTGCAACGGGAGAGGCCACAACAGTGAGAGGCCCGCGTACCACAAAAAAACAAAACAAACAAACAAAAAAAACCCTCACTAAATGCCTGATTGTTCACATCATATAGAGATCTAACTTAGATGAGCTACTGCTCTCACCTGCACCACTGCCTCCTTAACTAAGACACAACTGTTCAAATAAACTGACCTATTCTCAAGACTAATTCGAGGAGAAACAGAATAATCTGCAAGCTCAGATTCTGCACTATGAATCTTTGGGGTGAAGTTTCACAGGGGAGGAATAAAAAGTGGCAGAATATACCACCCCAAAATATGCTACTGTGACATAAGGATTATTTTGAACTAAAGGCACTTGAAAGAATAGCAGATGCCAAAACAGCCTTCTAATCTCCCCATTTCTTCCTGAAAACAGGAGATAAAATCTCCCAGGTGAAAGATACCCTTGCTATACCAGAAGAAAGAAACATTCTTCAATGGGGAATCAAAGCTGAAAGAATCCTGTATAAACAGAACTGTTAATTCTTATCTTCCTTTAACCTCCCCATATAATTTAGTTACTTTCCCACAATTTCCTCTCTTTGTTCAACCTAATGTAAAAGCCTGTAGGTTTTGCCATTTCTTTGCGTCTTCATTTTCTTGTCAGAGCCCCCGTGTCACGTAAAACATATAAATTTGTATACATTTCTCCTGTCTTATGTCAGTTTAATTCTCAGGCCCAGCTGAAAACCCCTAAGGAGGTAGAGGTAAAATTTTGCCTTCCCTACATTCTCAAGTGTCTCCTCCAGACCCTGTTTATTGCTAATAGTGTTCTGGTGTTACCCGACTCACAGGTATTGGGAGGAAGAGGAACAGTATTTGTAACATTTCTTTAAATACCATCTGCTGTCTTTTTTCCAAGTGTCACTGTGGAAAGAAGTAACCGTCTTGCTGGCCAGTTTCTTCCCACAACTGATTTGGTGGTCATTTGCCCTTCTTTTGTGGGTGGCATTGTCATTGTTTGGAGCTCACTTTGGGGGCAGTAGTAACTCAGTAGGACCCTGAGACCTGGAAATTATTCTTTTTTTCTTTTTCTTTCTTTTTTAGGGATTTACTCTCTTTGCACATTAGTCAGAACCGAGCTGCTTCAGATGCCCAGAAGTGGGAATCACTAGTTCATTATCTGTATTAGAACATCACAGCATGTTCAAGGTGTAAACCACAGACTCTGACTCCCCTATGTCCTGCTCTCTGGGTGGTGCTTTTTGAGAACTGTGCCTAAAGTCTCTGAGATCAGTATCAGCTCACCCTTGAGCTTCTAGGGAAAGCCCTCTTCCCAGAAACAGTTGAAACAAAGGACCTGAACTGGGAGAACCTCAGACAGCAAACCACATCTATGTGTAAAAAAAATCTGTCACACACATGTATGTGACACACATGTATGACTCTTAAGGAAATAAAACTTATATTTAACTCAGTTCCTAATCACTTATTCTCCAGATCAGAGAACAGTGCGCAGATTAGGTTCTCCATAAAAAAGCCATTTAACCACTCTGTTATGATATTTATTAGAGCAGCCAATTGTAGGTTTTTTCTAATAAATTAGTCAGTGCTTGGCTTGAGAAGAATAGAGCAGTGATTAACAGTCCTGACTCTGAACACCTGGGTGTAGAATCGAAGCACTACGACTTACTATGTGTGTGACCCTGGGCAAGTTACTTACCCTCTGTGCTTCAGTTCCCTGGGGGTAAATGGAAATGACAGTAATAGCACTTACCTCATAGGGGTGCTATCAAGCTGAATGAGTTAATATTTTTAAGCTTTTTATCACAGTTTCCGGCACATGGTAAGCCTTATCTAAACTCTTACCTTTACGACTGTTAAAATCCTAAGGGGGAAAAAATAAAATGAAAGACTTCTCAGAACCAATAATAATGTCTTCTGTTTTTTAAAGGTATACTAACATGCCAAAGACTTTATAGGTATTATTTCCGAACCCCGCAACAGGTAGCTATTGTCTCCATTTTACAGGGAAGAAGTGGAAGACTGGGAAATTTAATTTCATTGCCTAAGAGCACATAACTGAGTAGTGGAGCTGGGAATTCTAACCAGGTGTGCCTAATTCCAAAGCCTTCCACTGTGCAACATTGTCTCTTAAAATTTATCTGATCATTCATTGTTTTCATGACTCAACTCTAAATGCTCTGCATTCATTTATATCCACACTATTTCAGAACTGGTCTAAGTCTCAATTTGCCCATCCCCTCTGTCTTTCACAAGTAGGAAAACTTGAGTTCTTAACAAACAAGTGGCTTTCCCAAGACTAATTACTTAATGACTGTTAAGTAGCCATTGAATACCAACTAAACATTTGCCTGTAGGGAAAGGAATGAAGTTATGTATATTGCTTACCACAGTGCCTTTCACATGCAATCAGCACTAGCTAATTTTTATCATTGTTCATTTATTCATTAATTCATTTAGCAAGCATTTGTTAGGCATTTCTGACAAGTCGAACACCTGGGAATACAAAAATTAACAAGGTATGATTCCTTTTGAACGTCATACTAGTCTTTCAGTACAGGAGCCATTAACCACATGTGGCTATTGAGCACCTGCAACGTGGCTGGTCTGGAGTGGAAAATGTTATAAGTATAAAAAACACGCACAATTTTGAAGACTTAGTACCAAAAAATAAAATACCTCATTAATAAATGTTACATGTTGAAATGATATTTGGGATGTATCAGGTTAAATTAAAATATTTAAATTCTTTTAATCTGTTTCTGTTTACATTTTTTAGTGTGGCTGCTAGAAAAGTTACATGTGGCTTGCATTATATTTCTATTGGACAGCATTGGTCAAGACAGCAGAAAAGATGAACCAACAGAATGTAAGTCCAATGAGAAGAGTCACTAGAACATCTGTGGGAGCACAGAGGAGAAACTGCCCAGGAGTCAAAAAGTTTTCATAGAGGAGGTAATATTTGACTTGAATTCTGAAGGGTAAGTAAGAATATTGTCAGGTGAGTATTTTCTAGGCAGAAGATGAGCATGTAGAATGTCACATAAACATGAGAGAATAACCCACACATTTTCAATTTGGGGATGGAAGAATGAGAAAGGAAGAGAGGAGATTTAGATGTCCATAACTTGGGCAATGGTAGTGGGAATTCATAAGACAGGGCCACAAAAGATATCTCAGAAGTAGAACTGACAGGACCTGGTAATTCATGTCAGGGAAGCAACAAAAAGAGAGGGATCAAGAGAGATGCCCAGTTGTATTTGTACATGGCTATGTAGTGACATCTCCTTCTGTTCATTCACAAAATATTTATTGAAGGCTTACTTACGTGCCAAGTAGTAGGTAGTAGTGCTTAATGGGCTCCTGGTACAATGTCTTAACGTTATGTGATTATAGGGATCAGAAAAGAAAGTATTAAATCCACATTTAATTACTGGCCCACTAACGAAACTTTTATTTCTGTGGAATAATCTTATTTTCAGGGACATTAAATGGGCAAAGTTCTTGTGCTAAGGTGAGAGTGGCAGTTCCTCCTCTAATGAGATAGAGCAGGAATCTGATCCCTGAGGGGAGAGATCAATCCACAGACTGGCAGGTATGAAGTCTGATAATATAAAGTTTAAGAAAGGATGTGAAGAAACAGGAGCTCCTTCATAAACTGCTTGCAGATTAGTACGTTGCATTTAGAAAAGCAATTTGGCAGTTTGCAGTAAAACTGAAAATGTACATTTTGTAGAACTTGGCCATTGGATTTCTGTATCCCTGAGCACTGTTCTGCAAAGCAAGGCTCTACCACCCCAGGCATGTGTGGGAAGAAAATGTGAGAACTTCTATAGATGTGTTTTTAAAATATGTATATATACAGAAATGAAAAAGAAATTGAGCTTTACTAAAATTTATTATAAGGATTGAAGCTTGTGCGTTTATTCAGTCTGTATGTCAGATATCATATGGATGCTGACAACTCCCAAATTTAAACATCCAGGCTTATCCTGTCCCCTGAACGTTGCCTACTAAGTATCTTCACTTGGAAGTATGTGAGTACGTTGAAAAGGTGGAGAGACTAGGCAGTTAATTCATCATTCATTGATAAAATAAATGAATCAAGAGATAGTGGTATATGCTTATTCTTTAGGTTTATCAAGGTAAGTGACAGAATTCCATCTTGAGGTGCTAGAAGCAAATCTTTCTTCAGTACCATTCCCTGGAGGTGCTGTTCTCTTCCCTCTGACAATGAGAGTGGGCCTTCCGCATTACTGGCACTGGTGCAAGAACAGCGTAACAATGGAGTAAGGGTGTGGGATGGTTGAGGAGCAGGGAGAATAGGGGCTGACCAAAGGCTGAAACATGAGGCAAGAAATTAGTGTACAAAGAACCTAAAGAAAGTTCTATGGAAAAGGGTGAGGCATTATTTCAGGGAGTGGGAGAATTAGGGTCTGAAGCTGTATTGGGATGGAGTTTACCCTTTCTCATTCCTTCTCCTTCTCATAAAATCCCAACTTGGGAAGTTCCCAGTCCAGTCAGCCTTTCTTGACCATGAGGGTAGTATAAAAGTTAGGAAGGAGGTGATGCAGAAGGACATGGTGTTGACTAATACCGTGGCAACTGCAGGTTGGACCTTTTCCCCCCTTCCTTGCTTGCTTTCGCCTTCACCTCACCTACTGTGAGCACAGTATGGAACGGGGGACCAGAATGAAGAGGAAACTGAGTCAAGGCCCTGGGACCCTGGCAAGGATCAGCTCCCAGAGAGAAGAATGAGGGGGGTTAACTGCTCATCCACAATGTAAAGGGAAGGAAATTTCCCACTCTTTACCCAATCCTGTGAGAGAAATATACAGAAGTCAGGCATTTCAAGGTCCAGGCTTGTCTGTAGTAATAAGAGAAAAATTCTCTCAGTCAAAAATCACCCCATCCACTTCTCAAAGTTAAGTGCGTATTTACTGTAGGAAACACACACACACAAAATTATATGTAATCAAGTTTGAATAATGAAAAGGAAACAAATATCCAGCAACTTTACTTTTCATTGTGGGTTACACAGAAGATGCTCTGCATGCCTCTGCTTGATTCACTAACACATTTCTGTTTTTAGTATAGGGTTTGGTGAACTTTGAGTGGAAAGAAAAGCTCTCAGTTACAATAGTTACTAAAAATTATTGACAACCAGGTTAGAGTCATGTGGGCCAGAAGAACTTGATGTTCAAGGCAAAGTTTTAGAATGGATAAAAAAACGAGAAAGAGGAATGACTTCATACTTGAAATACAAATGACATGAGTACTTCTCTCTTCATCTCTGTAAAGGAAAGTGGCAATTCAGGTTACATAGGCCTTCAAACATAGAATGATAAGGAAAAGCACAAGTAATGTACACAGAGATTAAAGAAAAATTAGTTATACAGGAGGGAGAGAATCAAGTTCTTTTCTTTCAGCACAGTAAAAACCTGGTAGAGGCTGTATTCTAGAGTCATTGTTTATTGGTGTTGTGCCCTAATTTTTTTAGGATACAGCCACAACACTTACTTAGTAAAAATATCAAGGGAGCTGAGGGAATCTCACTTTTTAAACTGGTATTCATGTTATTCAAGAAAGTAAAAGGGATGCCAAGATATCAGAAATACCTTGTATATAGCTGGTATGGTGTTCCTGGAGGTATCACTGGGAGAGCTGACTATTGGCAGGCCTAATGGGCTGGAACAACAACATGGATAAAGGGGTGCTGGGAGTGGGGGTGGGGAGGAATTGGAGAGGGAACCCACCAGACTGTAAGGTCTGAATTTGAGGCTTGCTAGTCCAGAAAATAGACTTTGGACCCTAGAATGAACAGGTTCTCAGTGAGAGATTCATAACAGAATCTTCTGAGTTGGTGCAATTAGCTTGAATGCTGGATGATTGATTTATAATAAGGGGATATGTCTTTCTAGTGACATTATGCTCCTGTGCCCTCTTCACTGCATTCCTTTCCCAGGACCACAGTCCCTTGTAGGCTGAATCAACATTCTGAAAGTTGTTGAATAAGCAGGGAATTCCAGTCAAAGCATATAGTTAGACCTGAGGCATATTTCAGCCAGCTCAGGCCTGGGGAAGTATTCTTGACCCACAGAAGAACGTTTTTCTTATACTAGGCACTCTGTCAGAATTTGCTTTTCAGAACCACCTTATACTTCTGGAATAATTTTAGATTTACTAAAAAGTTGCAAAGGTAGTATCAAGTGTTCCCTTGTATCCTTCACCCAGCTTCCCCTACTGTTAACATCTTAACACAAACATGATACAGTTGTCAAAACTAAGAAATTAACATAGTTATAATACCATTAACCTTGCACTTTATTTTTATTTTACCAGTTTTTCCGCTAATGTCCTTTTCCTATTTGAGGAGCCTACCTGGTGTCCCATACTGCATTTAGTCATCACGGTTCCTTAATCCCCTCCAATCTTTGACAGTTTCTCAGTCTCTTTGTTCTTTATGACTTTGACAGTTTTGATGAGAGCTGGTCAGATACTTTGAGAATGTCCTTCAATTTGGGTTTTTCTCCTGATTATATGAGAGTTATGAGTTTTGGGGGAAATTACCACAAAGGTGAAGTGCCTTCTCCACACATCATGTATCAGGAGGTATTATGATATCAAAATGATTTATTACTGATGATGTTAACCTTATTCAGTTGTTTAAGGTAGTACCTGCCAGTTTTCTCCACTGAAAGTTACTATTTTTCTTTCCCGTACTTTCTTTGGAAGCAAGTCACTAAATCCAGCCCACACTCAAGGAGAGGGGAATTATCTCTACTTCCTGGAGCAGGAAGTATCTACAAATATTGTTTTGAATTCTTCTGTAAGAAAAATTTGTTCTTTCTTCAGCACTTACCTATCTACTTATTTATTCAATTGTTTATATCAGTATAGGTTCATGGATATTTTATTCTTTGGGTCATAATAGAGTACTGTCATTATTTTGTTGCTCAAATAGTTCCAGCTTTGGCCAAATTTTTCTAGCTTTGAGAGCTATTTCAGGTTGCCTCCAGTATCCTTTTATTGGAGAATTATACTTAGAAACCAAGGTTTGGGTCCTGGGTGTGCTCATTGCTAGTGAGTTGCCACTGTTTCTCAGCCCACTCAGTGAACAAAGCTAGTAAATGTGTGTGTGTGTATGTATGTGTGTACATGTAGATACTAACCCATGTAAACACACATATATATGTTTCTGTATCTGTCTACATATATCTTAAAATAAACATGAGTTCATACATCCCCAACTCTAATACAGCACTATAGGATTAACTCTAGCCTCTTTCTCTGTAATTAATTTTTTAACTATTATCTGACAGTTGGAAATCTGCCTCCTATTATCTACAACTTATTTAATTCTTCTACCCTAGTATATATATAAAGCAGTTTCAGAAATGCTAACTCATGTCACTAGTTTTGTCTTTAGCCTTAAAGTATCCAGTCAAAACATGGTTTTCCAAAGTTACTTGTTAGCTCCTGTTTTCCTCACTTCCTTCAGTCAAGTTATATTATACATTTGTAATACAATTATGTTCATTAGTCATTGTCTGCATTCCATCCTGGGATCCCTGGGCATCCTGGTTGGTATTTTTGAAATTTGCATGCAGAAATTCACTATTTGTGATGCATAATTCTGTGGGTTGTGACAAAGATATAAGTCATCTGTCTAAAACTACAGTATCGTATAGAGTATTTCCATCACCCTATAAATTCCCCTGTGCAGCCTATTTGTAGTCTGAACTGCTTTAAAATACTAGTTTTTCCTATTAATTGATTTATTCACTTTAACTATGTAGCTGTTCTCAGGGCCTAGGAGACATTTTGCTGGCTTCTTACATGTGTTGAGTTGATAGGTTTAGGATTCAAAGAGCAGCATTCTTTCTCATTTCTAAAATTTTAGAAGGCTCCTCACTGCTGCTCACTCCACTGCCAGGAATTAACTAAATAGCTCA